AATCACATAATTCACAAATAATACATTCTTATTATTTCAAGTTGAGTTACAAAGGTTAACCTAGACTATTACATTGCTAAAAATGGCAAGCCCAGAAACACGGGCGTTATAGGTTGTTATATGGGAGGAGGTGTCAGACTCCTATTTGTTGGGGAGAGGTGAGACAGAGAGTGATGGGTGGCACTGTGATAGTACTCTAGACGACTGAACAGATTCAATAGGTTAGACAGAGATTACTAAAGGCCCAGAGCCGCCAGAAGAGTTATGCGGACAGACGACGCTCTGATCTGGAGTTCCTGGTTGGAGATTTTGTGCTCCTGAAGGTATCTCCGTGGAAAGGGGTGATCTGATTCAGAAAGAGGGGCAAGCTGGGGCCCTGATACATTGATTCTTTTAGGGTAATTATCAGGGTTGGCACAGTAGCCTACCAGCTGGAGCTACTCGCAGAATTGAGCAGATCCATAACACCTTTCATGTGTCCCAATTGAGGAAGCGTGTGGCAGATGAGATGCCAATTGTACCTCTAGAGGACATTCAGGTGGATGCAAGCCTGAATTATGTTGAAAGGCCAATTGCAATTTTAGATCGAAAGATGGAGGTCCTCAAGAATAAGGAAGTGTCCCTGGTTCAGGTCCAGTGGAAGCATCGGAAGGGATCCGATTTGACTTGGGAGCCGGAGTCAGAGATACGAGAGCAGCATCCGAAGCTATTTGCGGAGCAAAACTTCGGGGGCGAAGTCTAATTCTAGTGAGGGAGAATTGTAACATCCGGTTTTCCACGTATATTATTTTAATAGATTAAGTTGAGAATTTTGGATGGACTCGACGAGTTGGCGCCTCAACTCGTCGAGTAGGGCCATGGCTGATGACTAGGATTAATGAGTGGACTCAACGAGTCGATGAGCCGATCGACGAGTCATCACTAGAGATAGAAACCCTAATTTTCTCGGTCCTGGGCCTATTTAAAGACACTTATAGCCTCCTTGACCACCCCCATCAGTGTTATTCGTCCCTTGAGAGAAACCCGAGAGTCATTTGTGAGCAAGAAAGGGAAAGAGGCTAATTTGAGGTCATTTCTTTGAGAAGAAGATCAAGGGTGTTGCAAGGATCTCAGAGGAGAGTTTGTGGATCAGTTTCATCTTCATTTCAAGCTTCAGATCTGGTATAAGCTCTTGCCTTCCTTGTGATTGAATAGATTCCCTTTGGTTGTAAAGTTAGGGCTTGTATCACCATTTTGATGGGGTTTTGGGTGCATTCAAACCCTTTTTCGAGTTATTTTATAGATCTGAACCTTGTGAGGTCCAGAGAACTAGAAAGTAGAAAGCCATGACTGAGTAACATTGGAGCTTTGAAGATATGAAGCTTTAATGGAGTCATAATGGTATATAAAGCAATATACACCATGCATAAACCCCAAGTTTAGACCTTTACGTGACTTTTGTATGCTAGAAGGCCAGATCTATGAGTTAGAGTTCCAGATTTGACCTCAGGAGACCATATGAGTGATGCGATGGAGACGAATCGCCGAGTCTATGAGTTAGGAACCTTTGGGAAATCTGGAGGGGTCGAAAGGGTCTTTTACCCATCCCAAGGGTTAGAGAATGAGCAAATAGGGCTATAGTTGGAAAGAGTAAAAATGTGTTATTAGTTGAGATGCTCATTTAATGTGTTAGGTGAAGGCTAGTCCGGATTGTCAAGTGTGTATCTATTTCCTACTAGTCGCGAGGTGAGTCTTCTCACTATACTTGTCTTGAGTGGTAACCTACATGTGACCGGAGGGTCTTATGTGCATACTCTGTGTTTAAGATATCATGTTAATTGTATTGAGATATTCTATTATTGCTTGTGATATGTATGCTATGTTTATTTGAGTATTGAGTAGAGGGATTAGAGGATCCAACCTGAGTTATGGGACCGGAGGGTCCCACTGAGACACATTGACCAGAGGGTCTTATTGAGTTACAACCTCGAGTGGCTAATGAGCTGTGTGTGGTATTTTGGGGAACTCACTAAGCATTTATGCTTACCGTGTTATGTATTATGTGTTTCAGGTACTTCCGAGAACCGCGGAAAGGCACCGACATGATTGTACACCTGCATCGAGGAGAAGTGATGACCTCAGATTTAGAATAAATGTTTTGAAAATTTTATGGAATATTGTTATTTGAAAATTTTGGAAAAATGTGATATGTGTTTTACATTAATTCAAAAATGAAAAATTTTGATTTGAAAAATTTACGTTGTTACATAAACATTAAATTCTAGAACTTAGGTTTGAGGGAAAACATGGCATCCAACTCGACAAGAATGGGTTGGATTCTTATGTGGAGCTCGGTAAACTTGGTACGCAACATGCTAGGTATGCAACTTTTGTGTCTGGTTGGCAATGGCTTGCCGAACATTAAGAAATGGTAGGAAGGAGATGGGCTAACATGGCATAATTTTAGGGAGGCGATGCTTTGCAAAGCCGAAACCACGCCTATGAGTCTTAGGCCACAAGGTATGGGGGTGTTTCTGCGCGTAAGGGCTAAGCTGGAGGTGATTAATTTCCACGCATGAACACCGTCTCAATGGGTGTAGATGTGGTGAGGATTGAAACTGGTCACGGGTTCTCGTACCTAATAAAAAAACGTTTATCTCTGTGTCTTTTTTCTATTTCTCTCTTTATCTCTCTTGTTCACTAGTGAATACCACCTTCAAGCAATAATAAATGTGTTGCGAAAATATACGAAGATGATGTGGAATATTTTCACCGGTGAATGAATTGTGAACATATCTCATGGGCAGTAGGATGTAATGTCTTTATGATGTATTTTTTTTCCATAATAAAAGATGTCAACCGATGTCTACTTCGTAGTTCGTACAACAATTAGTTGAAGGGTTTGCTAAAGCTGATCTAAACCGGAAGATTTATCTCTTTAGCCACGTGTCTACTGTGCCCACGTAGAAAAAGCAATGTACACGTGTCACGCGTACAAGTCAACCAAAAGCAAAATAAATGACACAAACAAACGACCATAATGCTATATCTAACAAATCAGATCGGCGATATGGCGACGATGAAAGCAGAGCAAGAGCATCACCCTGAAGATTCAGCCACGATAGAGGCAGAGCAGGTGGAGAAGGAACTAGACACGGGAGAGATTTCGCAGCTGTGCAGAGATCATTGCGGAGGTATTTCGGCTACTGATTGCGTCGGTGACCGGAAAGCAACCGCAGGTTGCCAGGATCTTGAAGACGGGTCCGGCGGGAAGAATGACAAGTGTTCGGAAGTGAAACAACAAGCAGATCATTACAGGTCTACCATGAAGAAGACGAATTAACTACAAGCTAGGGTTGATTTGATTTGATTTGATTTTGGTGAACATATATAATATAATAAAACGTTGGTAATTTTAAATTTTGCCCTAGTTTTCGATCGAGATTCATTAGAATTATCGTACCAAAAGAGTAGAAGCAATAAACAATGAATTCCGTTGGTTGGTTGGTATATACATAAGGCAAATTTAACAAGTTGGATATTCCAAGCAAAACAAACTCAGCAGCGACGGCGGAAGCTGGTAGTTGCAGGCGGCGGCCGGTGTCAGGGTTCCGTATGAGGTGCTTTTATGCAGCAAAACCACTTCCTCTGCAATCCAATTCAATTTTGAATAAGTTGGTTAGCTGATAAGATATTAAAACAATAATCAGTGAAAAAGATGACACGAAGACTTACAGATTGAGGCTGCTTAACGGTGGCAGTAGCATGAGGATCGGAAGTGGTTGGTGGTGACTCCGGTTTGCCACCTGTTTTCTTCTCATCCCTGGCTTTATTGAAAATCACAGTGAAACCCTCTGCTGAAGTAGGATCATTCACATCCCAATCCCCAAACCCTTTTCTTCCTGTTTTGTTAGTTTATCCATTATATATGAGCTGGAATCACATCATCATAAGTATGATTACAAAACCATGATATGTATATGAATGATAATCATAAAAACCTGATATACAAAATAGAAGAAGCTTCAAATAGATAACACCACACCACCCATCCTAATTCACTTCCTTCAATTTGATATTTTCAAGTATGTAGGCACCTAAATTCTACATCTTTTTCTAGGTTTCACGAGGATCTGCTTCATATATACTATAATATAACGATAACGATTAGATTGATACTTCCTAGCAGCAAATTTCTTAAGCAAACATAGAAATGCAGAACAAGTTACTTCCAAATGTGGCTGATAAGAACTTTACATAAAAACAAACACAAGCTTCATTAAGTGTTTGTCCTTTCATCTAATCTACCAACTCATATGGATAAACACCGAAGGCTTCTAGCTCAGTGGTTTCGGTGTTGTCATTCCTCTTTGAGGTCGAGGGTTTAGTTGATCGTCGAACGATCGATTATTATATTTATAACTATTAACATTATAAATATCACATATGTTTAAAATTAATAAGCTAGATGCTATGGTAATATATTGTTTTTATTTAGTGTTATTGTAATGTACGTTTTAATTTTATAAATATTATATATGCTTAAAAATAACAAATTAGATGAAGGTGATTTATAAAACATTTAATAAAGATATAATAAATTGATTAATTTTATAAAATAATAAAATTTTTAAAAACGGTTGATGATTGGAGAGGATTTAAGCAAGGTTGTAAAAATCATTTTACGGTAGCTTAACGGTCGTCGACTGGTATTAGGGGAGTAATAAGAAAATTTGCAATTTGAAAATATTAATATATCTTAAGAAAAACAAGTATTTCAAAATTAGAAAATAAGAAAATTTGCTATTTGAAAATACGAAAATATTAACATTTTGGTATAACATTTAAAATTTTGAAAATTTGAAAATTTTGGAGTAAAAAAAAGGTTGATTTTTTTTAAATATTTTTTGACCTTTTTTTACTTTTTTTTTTTTTTTCAAATTTTTTGACTTTTGTTGACCGATTAATCCTAAATTTCCGATTAATACCTTAATCCTCGATGCTTGGAGAACGTTAAGCGATTAATCGCTGATTAATCCCGATTTCTGCAACCATGGATTTAAGTTAATAATATTTTGTTCGATAAAGATGGTGAAAATATGACGTGACAAATCAAGAAAAACTATATAATAAGTCGTTGGTTGAGGATACCGGAAAAATTACAACAATGCAAACCATCTCCAACAATAGTTAAACAAGTAAAAAATTTGTCTTCACAAATAATCATTCTTCACCAATCTCAAAAACAGGATGTCTTACATGAGAAGATGACTTATCACATTTATCTTTGCAAAGAGAAATCACTCGTTTTTTGTTGCTTGATGCCCCAAGATTATTTGCAGCTAGAATCACTCCATTTCCAACACCACTACATTTCCTCAGATCCTTTAAGCTTCTAACACTTGTCACTGTTGGAGGAGTCTCTGGTGCATACTTTGGCACTTGTGGCCTTGGGTTGACTGAAGTCACTTCATCATAAACAGAAAAGTACTTCTTGATAATACCCGAAACTGAAACTGATACCGATTCAAATGAATAAGCATCCGATCCTTGTTTATGTTCATTTTCCCTTTTCTTTATTCTTGATAAACCGTTATGAACAACTACTTGTGCTTGTGGGGTTGATGGGATTTTCTTGTTTAAAGGGTATGCTTCTGTGTATAAAAACCATGTTCCTTTGGAACCTTGGAACGCATGCTTTAAGGGCATTGATTCAGGCAAGTGATAAAAGTATGACTTCTTCTTGATCTGGTTAGTAACAAGATGAAATTTTTAATAATAAGCATATAACAAGAGGTAACACAAGAGCTTAATTAGCTATATATACCATCAATCCATTGACTTTAATATTTCCTATTCCAGGGTAGCAATCTGAATGTATGCTCTCAAATTTTCCTACATAAATCAAGATCACCATGAACAACTAGAAGATCGGATAATCAATAGCTTAAAGGTAGGGATAACCAGTTAAATTTGTTATTTTCTTAATGATCATCAGCTTCTTCGAATCTTGTTTTTTTTTTATCATAAAATCAGAATCATTCAAAGTAATCGGTTAAATGCACATCCAAACTCCCCTAAAAAATATCTGTCTATCTGACCCCTTTCAACATAGAGCAATCGTTTGATAACGAGGTTAATTTCGCGTATCCAAAACCCTGATTCTTTCTTTTAGTTCATTACATGTATTACAATAGGTAAAATAATCGATGGAGCACGAGGAAAATAAATGAAATTAGTAAATTAGTTAGGAGTGAAACGAAACAGGGACTTCAATTTCGAAGGCACTTGCATCAGAACCCATTCAACCAATTTCAATCTAAGCATAAAAGGGTTGAGGAGGGAGAGATTGGTGTTACTCTTAAATTCCGCGGCTGTAAGATGAGGAGAGACAGATATGGCAATGCGGGTGCCTAAGCTGGTGTCGACGAACACAGGGACTTCAATCTCAATGGCCCTTGAATCAGAACCCATTCAACCAACGCCCCCAACAAGACAACAAGGGTTTTAGGCTTTAGCAGTCTCGACTCTTTGCTTGATAGTCTATGGGGTCTGTTTCTTACTAAATAATTGCACTTTAAATAATTCCACTTTATTAGCCCTAAAAAAATTGTCGTTTTTATGGGTCAATATCAAAAAATAACTCTCAGCTTTGTTTTTTTAAATTACTTATTTTTAATTTTTAATTTTTTTTTTTTTTGTGTGTTTCATTACGGTACTAGAGTTGATGTCATCTATGTGACGTTCCATGAACGATGTTATTGTTGAGTCTCAATCGATGGTACTAAACTGAACCGACCAAATGAACATTGAATCAATTTTATCATATTAGATTTCATAGTGGACATAATATAAGGTGTTATAATACCATTTTATCGGGATGAAATCTACTTAATGGTGTATTGAAACATTAAAGGAAAATGTATTGGTTTATTGAATACAATTAAAAGACGAATAACTTAAAGAGTTAAGAGTTAACTGTAACTATTCATGGCATTAACCCCGTTCTCATTTACAAATTATATTTTTCCATCTACATAAGAGCATACACCATGGTTAAATAAGTCCAAAGTTTACTGCCTATGTCAAATCTATAAAAAGATATTTTTTTAAATCTTCTCAAATGCATAAGTTGTTTTTGAAATATTTTTTACTAATTAAACATTTATCTTCGTCTATTTGAAAATGTTTTGTAAAACGCCTTCCTATAATCTTTTATTTTTAAGAACACATCATAATTTATATAGGTGTTATTTTATCAATCATGTAGTTAAAGATATAAAAAATAAAATGCTATAATTTTAATTTACGTATTTAATAAATTAGATACAACATGAGCTAACACTAAAGTGAGATAATGCAAGTATAAATACGATAATATTGACTTATTGAGACCATGCGCCGATGCTTACAAAAAGATACAACATAGTCGAACACTAATAATATATGTACATACAAATATAATTACAATGATACTAAGTCTATGCTCATCAATACAAAAGATACAACATGGGCTAACACTAATAATATACACATACTATTAATAATATGGACTAATATCAATCATATACATACACTAACAATGCATGTATATTATTAGTGTCAACTTGTTGTATTTTTTGTATGCATTATCCATGGCCACAATATCATTGTATTTATACTTTTATTATCTCATTTTCAAAGACAATAAAGATAATCATTGAATAATATAACAAATACCACAATATATAAATAAGTAGTTGGTGGATAATAACGGATCGATGACATAATAAAAAAATACCCGCTTTATATTATATAAATGAAGAAACGATGATAAATCATAAATATATTTTAAGCATCAAATATATACTCAAATATATAGTATACTTTTTTTTTGTCTCGTCTTTTGTTATATACACTCCTTGATAGGGATCAATTTTTTTTACCGAAAAATCAAGTCGGAACTAGAACCGGTTAACTGAAATGTTGTTTTCAATTTGGTTATCGGTTTGTTGGTCGAATGGGTTGAGACCATGGGCTTAATGTCGCGGGTCGACCCATCGGTGTTTTGGAGTGCTGTCCAAGATACGCGTTATATGGAAAGTTTCCTAATTCTTTGTTTAGGAATTGTATTCCAATATGAATTCTAGATCTATATATGTATGCGTTGATCATGTATAGAGGTAGGTCAATTGTTAGTTTGGTTGATATAATCCTTTAATTGGTATCATAGCCACAACCTCTTGCTCACGATCAATTGATTTTTTGTCAAGCCGGCAAAAGCTTTTCTTCTTATGCAAAATTGTTGCTTTTCCTCCAAGTATTAGTTTGGTTGATATAATCCTTTAATTGGTATCATAGCCACAACCTCTTGCTCACGATCAATTGATTTTTTGTCAAGCCGGCAAAAGCTTTTCTTCTTATGCAAAATTGTTGCTTTTCCTCCAAGTATTTAATACCCCAATTATTTAATAATTACCTCCTGGATCAAGAACACGTTTTGAAAAAAAAATACAATTGATTTCTTGTGGTCCAATTAAAGAAAAAGCATCTGGTCCTATTGGTCGTCGTTTCCAATTTCTTAATTGGAATCATTATTTTATTGCTCATCCGTTGAAGAAGGTGTGTGGTTTGTTGTTGATTATTCATGGCAGGAGATGGAGCCAATCTACCCGTGAAGGAGGCACACTCGATCTCATTTCAATTTCCGCATTTGACACCATTAAACTACACGATATGGAACATGCGTATGAAAGTTTTACTCGGCATTCACGGCGTGTGGGACGTGGTTGATCCGGGTTCAACGGATGCAAAGAGAAACAATATCGTGATGGGATTATTGTTTCAATCAATACCGGAAGATTTAATCTTGCAAATCGGGAATCTCACCACTGCTAAGGAGATGTGGGATGCAATCAAATCTCGGAACATGGGTGCGGATCGAGTGAAGGAAGCACGTTTGCAAACATTGACTTCGGAATTCGAAAGTTTGAAGATGAAAGATACGAGCACTATTGACGATTTCTCTTCAAAACTATCGGGACTTGCGACCGTTTCAGCGACACTTGGTGGAACAATCTCACAAGAGAAGTTGGTGAAGAAATTTCTTATGAGTCTTCCTAGTCGATTCATTCACATCGTAGCAGCACTCGAGCAAGTTTTGGATTTAAAAACCATTACTTTTGAAGATGTAGTTGGGCGGCTGAAAGCTTACGAGGAACGGACTAAAGAAATCGGCAAAGCATCCGATTCCGGTGAAAAGCTACTTTATGCCAAGACCGATAACTCAAATCAAAACGAAGACTCAAGCCGTGGGAGAGGACGTGGTGCATACCGTGGGGGACGAGGCCGAGGACGTGGTCGTGGTCGAGATAACACCCAAAACCACGATCAAAGGGACTCATCAAAGAATCATGATGATCAAAGATGAAAAGGCAAAAATCATGAACAAAGAGACCTTTCAAAAATTCAGTGTTACCGATGTGATAAGTTTGGACACTTTGTTTCACGATGCCCGGAACGTAATAGGAAACATGAAGCAAATCTCAACGATGCCCGAGAGGAGGTCGATCACGAAGAAGGAGCATTTTTTATGATGCAAGAAGAGACAAACTTCCTAAATGAAGACAAATACATTCTACCCAAAGAAGAGGCAAATCAAGAAGTCGACGATATGTGGTACCTCGACAATGGGGCAAGTAATCACATGACCGGGAAGTACTCATATTTTTCGGAGTTGAATAAACGGATAACCGGAAGAGTAAGATTTGGAGATGGCTCGTGTGTTCGAATTGAAGGAAAAGGATCAATTTTGTTCGAAGGAAAAAACGGTGAGCAAAAAGTTATGAAAGATATCTACTATATTCCCTCTCTTCGTAGCAATGTCATAAGTCTTGGCCAAACGACACTATCCGGTTGTGACATTAGAATGCATGGTGATTACTTGACAATGAAAGATCGGAATGGAAGGTTGCTAATGAAGGTTCCACGTAGTGAAAATCGTCTTTATAAAACACGACTTAAAGTTGGAAAACCCCAATGTTTTCATGCAAAGATCGATGACGAGTCTTGGTTATGGCATGCACGACTAGGCCATATCAACTTTGGTGCGGTGAATATGATGCACAAGTTGACTAATGGAGTTCCAATTTTGAAACATCAAGAAGAAGTTTGCGAAATTTGCGTGATAGGCAAACAAAACAAACACACATTCCCGAAGACAACCAATTATAAGTCTAATAATATTCTCGAGATGTTACATGGAGATATTTGAGGGCCTATTGATCCTCCCACGATGGCCGGTAACGTTTATATTTTGTTGCTAATTGACGATTTTTCTAGATACATGTGGTCTTTTTTGTTAAAACACAAAAACGACGCGGTGGATGTAATTAAAAAATTCAAAAAGTCCATCGAACATAGGATCGGGAAGGGTATAAAGACGTTCCACACAGATAAAGGGGGAGAGTTTACTTCAAACGATTTTAATCGTTTTTGGAACGAAGAAGGTGTTGCAAGAATGTTAACGGCTCCGTACTCACCCCAACAAAACGGCATAGTAGAACGACGAAACCGGACGCTAATCGAGATGACACGATGTCTTATGAAAGCAAAAGAAGTTCCAAATCAGTTTTGGGGAGAAGCCGTTCGACATGCAACTTATATTATAAATCGTACCCCTACGAGAGCGTTAGTAGGAGTCACGCCTTACGAAAAACTCTATGGTCAAAAACCGAATCTTAAAGATCTAAAGGTGTTCGGATGCGTTGCGTATGAAAGGATTGTTTCGAAACATCTAAAGAAACTTGACGATAGATCCAGGCCATTGGTTTATTTTGGAACAGAACCGGGTTCGGGAGGTGCTCGTTTATTTAACCCATATGAAAATAAAATTATTATAAGCAACAATGTAACTTATGATGAAAAGTTGTCATGGAAATGGAAAAAGGAAATTGAAAAAGGTACGAGAACAAAAACAGTTGAAAAAGAAAATGATTCTGGAACTTTCAAAATTGCTTGGGCCACTTTGATAAATCAGCCACATAATGGGCCTCACCAGCCCAATACCAATGCCACCCCATCTCCGCAACATTTTAATGAAAGCCCATCAGTAGCGCCGAGCCCAGTAGCCCCGAGCCCAACAGTGGACAGCGCAATCTCGACAGAACCTGATACGGACAGCAGCGATCACGAGTCCGATGGCAATAACGAGTTCGAGAATAACCCGGTACGTCGTTCTAATCGTGTTTCCGTTTTGCCAATTCACCTCAATGATTATGAGCTTAACATGAACGAATTAATGTTATCGTTTGATGAGGAACCAAGTACTTTAAAAGAAGCCATTGTGAAACCCGAATGGCTTAAGGCAATGAAAGACGAGATCGAGTCAATTGAAAGGAATAAAACTTGGAAGTTGGTGTCTCTTCCCAAGAATGTTAAACCCATCGGATTAAAGTGGGTATATAAAATCAAAAGAAATGCGGACGGATCAATTTCTAGGTACAAAGCGCGACTCGTAGCAAAAGGCTATGTACAAGAACACGGGATTGATTTTGATGAAGTTTTCGTACCGGTAG